CCACCGAGCCTCGTTGCGAACGGCTGCTCTCCTGCGGAGCTTTGCCCGCTCTGCGGCAGGGCCCTGCCCTGGAGCAGGGGTGTGGATCATGCCCGGGGATGGCAGGGGGTGGCAGCAGTACCCCCATCCACTGGGAACGGCCAGGAGGTCACCAGGAGCACACCGGGAGCTCACCAGGCTGACCAGCACAAGCCACAACCTGTTGCTGGAGCAACTGGGGCAGCACAGGCTGGAGCCCCCGCGCCTCTGCGAGAACAAGGTGACATTTCTTGTCTCCTTTCTCATGCTTGAAGTGTGAGATTTTTTTTCCCCTCTGCTGGAGCTTTCATTGCGTGCCAGGGGTTTTTAACACGTCTGCTCACCGGCTGCCAGGGGAGCAGACACTCGCTCTGAAGCCGTGCCAAGGGTCTCCGAGCTGCTCCGCCGCCCCGGCTGCTCCCCCCGGAGCCAAGCACGGAGCTGCCGAGCCCTGGCCCTGCTCCGGCGTCCCGGGGAGCAGCACCGCGGTGCCGGGGCAGGAAGGGCCATGCCTGGGAGGCCCCAAAGCATCTCCCCTGCTCCAGGCAGGAAGAAAGTGATTCCTCATGGGATTTCTGCTGGCTGAAGAGCTCCCGGTCCCTCGGGTGACGCATCCGTAGCCGTCGCTGCCCCGTCTGCACCTTGAACCAGCCGACATTTGCAACCTGCCCTGGGAGATGGGAACGTCACTTGGCCGCTCCTTGTGATGAATTATCATTTCATAAGGCAGGAGGTTTCAGGCATGAAAGAGCCTCTTCACAGGCGTGTTGTGCACACTTGATCCATCATATGAGCCTCCAGATGTTTCCATTTTATTCTTATTAAATCACCGCCTGGAGAGCCCGGGTAACGTGAGGCCTCCTGCCCCGGTGCTGGGCACTGCACTAGGGGACAGCAAAGCACCAGAGACCCCTTTTCCCTGCAGAATGGAGACATGTGTCTGGGGGCTCAGACCAGACTGCCCCCGTTGCCTCTGTGGAGCCGGGGCAGGTGGGATGGCCTGTCTGGACCACAGGAGAATGTGCAAGAGCTGAGCCATGGCTGGAAACCCCAGGTCACAGACAGCCACCATGGCACAGGGCAGGGGGACTCGGTTTCACAGTCAGGGCACAGCAAAAGAGCAGCTGGAGCCAGAGCAGAGGGATTGCCTTGTCCTGCCTTTCCCTTCCCTCTGCGGTTGCCTCGGTCCCATGTCTCTTCAGGGGTTAGGAAGGAAAAGGATGGACATGGCAGGTGCTCAGCAGGACCCAGCAGCGAGGAGCTGAGACCCCCAGGGAGCTGCTCTGTGGCAGGGGTTGGTTGGAGTGACCAGGAGCATCCCCAGAAAACCTGCCAGCTGAGGGGGGAATAAAGCTCAGGTGGGAGGAAAGAGGGAGGGAGGATGGAGGCACTGGGGTCACACCAGGTAAGGAAAACAAATAAATAGCTGATTCAGGGGTTTGTTCTCCTCTTCTATTTAGCAGAAACTGTATTTTTACAGCTGCAATCCCTTAAAATGGGATTCTTTTTCCCTTAAACAAATCCTTGTAAAATGCTTCATAAAAATAAGCGTTCCTCTTCTTGACCCTGAAGACAGAAAAAACAATCACCCCAGCGAGGCCTCCGTGCTGCCGGTGGCTGTTCCCGTGTCCCCGCACCGGCACCGCCGGCTCCTGCGCACCGGGCAGAGCTGAGCTCCCCTCCCAGAATCCACCATGGCCGCCTGCAGCCTCTGGGCTCTGCCATCCCTGTCCCCAAACCACAAGGAGCCCCGTCCCAGGGACATTCACTGGGCAGGGGAGCAGCAGTCAAGGCTGCCTCAGCACTGGAGACCTCTGACAACCTGCCCATCACTTGTGGCATCAGGGACACACCTGTGCCAGGGCCCCCCCTGCCTTTACTTAATTTGCTTTAATTTTGGTGGGTTTGGGGGGGATGTTTTCTCTCCAGGCTGTAGCACTTTTTTTTTTCTTCACTGCTGCTTCAGCAAAAGTGATTCAGGAAATTCCGATCAAATCCCGGCGCAGCAGCCCTGCCCCTGCTCCCCGGCAGGAGGGGCAGAGCTTAATTCTCATTAATAACCACCACAGGTCAATTATTGCGAGAAGGAGGAAAAACCAGCAAAGCTCTTTGGTATCACGTGTTTTTTAAGCTTCTGAAAATAAATGTGCTTTGCAAATCAATCTGTTTGCAGTTCCGCCCGTGGACCTGGCACAGAAAAAGTTGCTAAAGTATATTTATAGAGGGTATTTATTTTAAACAAACAGGCACTTGAGGCAGAGGCTGTGGTGTTTGGGAACTTTCCTCCCCTGGGATTTCCTGGCCAAGGGCTCCCATCCCTCACGCTCTGAGCAAGGTCCCAGCACTGCCTGCAAAGTGCTGCAGCTGAGCTGTAAATGCAGCAAGTCCTGGGCTCCAGAATTCTGGTTGTGGTCCAGCACCCATGTGGGAGACACAGCACCCATGTGGGAGACACAGCACCCATGTGGGAGACACAGCACCCATGTGGGAGACACAGCACCCACCCAGCCACTGCCAGGGCAGAGGGGGCTCGGTTCTGGCAGCCCGAGAGCCAGAGCACACATGGGTTTTTTTGGAGGAGACCCTGTTCACTTGAGAGATGCAACAGCAACACTCGCCTCTACAAGCTGTGGTTTTCATTCTGCCTCTCTTCCCATTCTTCTTATAAAAGTTAAAAATACAGGATGCCTGACATGGGCATAACCCCGGAGAGGCACTGGGGCAGCCTCTGGAGGGCCCTGCTGGGCGCCCATGGTGACTTATTGCTCAGAAACCACATATTTATTGTGCATCTCCCGGCTGCCACGTATCGGGAAAGGTAACGTGTGCCAGGCAACTGTGATTCAGAAAAAGACAAATTTGGGAGGGTCTCACCTTTCCTGGGATCCTTTCCAAGGTCCTGGCTGATCCTTATGGGGATCATGGGAGGGTGCAGCTGGGGCTGTGGGTGCCAGCTCTGACTGTCGCTTTGTCCGCAGGAGCTGTGGGGAGCAGGATGGTGCCGGACGCCGCGGCGCTGCTGGTGGCGGCGATGGTGCTGGGCCTCCGCGCGGCGGCGGGAGGTGGCGCGGGGGGCTACGCCCAGGTGAAGTACATGCAGCCCATGGTGAAGGGACCCCTGGGACCCCCCTTCCGCGAAGGCAAAGGGCAGTACCTGGGTAAGGGATGCGCTCGGCGGGGGGTGGGAGGACACTCTCTGGCACTTCAATGCTCATCCCAGTGTCCCACTGCCAAAGGAGCTCCCAGCACCTCCCTGAGGTGCACGGGCCCCTGCTGCCCCCAGGCTCACAGCAGCAGCCCAGTGGCTTCAGCTCACGAGGGGGATGGAGGGGAGGGTCTGAGCCCTTTCCTCAACACCAAACACAGTGGTTTCCGAGGCTCTTCCCAGCACCAGCCACAGCTGTGCTGGGGTTCAGGTGCCCAGACCCACCAGGTGGGTGCTTGACTCTCAGGAAGAGCCACTGGAGCCCTGTCTGCAGACAGGGACCCTCCTGGGAGCTGAAGTCTTGGCTCTGGGAAGAGAAACTAGAGAAGACTTGGCTGCTGGTGGCTGATTTACTGCTGGGCGGAATGGCTTATCAGGAGTTCAGCTCAGCACATGTGTCAGAAAACACACAGCAAAACCTGGAGCCGAGGCAGGCTACGAGCCCCCCCACCTCCCTGCCCCCTTCCCAGCTGTTGTAAAGCTGCTCCCTGAATCCTAGCCAGAGACAAAACCTTCCAGCATAGCACAGGAACGTTTCAGCTGCTGGTGGGACAGGATTCAAATATCTCCCTGCTGTTTTTCCTTATTTTTTCTCCTTCTTCCTATGCATGGGAGCAGCACTGCCTGCTGATTGTGGTGGAGAGAGGAGCAAGTGTGCTGGGTGCTTCGCAAGGTGCAGTTTGGGTGTGAGCTCTGCCAGGTTGGATGGAGCATGGGTCAGAGACACCAAGCACAGGATCCCTCTGGACATCACTCTCCTAAAACCCTTGGGAAAGAGGGGGGATGCAGGCAGGGGGATGGGGAGCAGCTCCTGCCTGACCCACCAGCTGCAGGGCTGTGGCTGGGGAAGCCAGTGCCTCCTGGATCCCACCAAGCTCCCATCTCTGCTTAACCTCTAATTTGGCAAGGAAAATCCCTGCTGGCCTTCTGCCCTGCTTTGGGAGCTCAGCTGACTCTCCGCGATGGTGCAGGGCTGTGCTGTGCCCCTGCAGGTTACCCTGAGTCAGGGGGGAGCTGTGTAGGGCCCCTCATGCTGCCCCAACCTGGCCCTGGGACCCCTACCTGGGGGGGCTCCCACCAGCCTACAGGTGCCATCTAGAGAGAGGGGACTGGCTCCCTTAGGGTGCCAGACACCTTTTCTGACCCAAAAACAGACTCCCTGGGTGTCTGGAGGCAGCTCAGGGCAGGAGATGCTGCTAAATGCTACAGTGCTAAGAGCATTGGTGCAGGTAGCTGCACAGTTGGGGGTTATTTTGGCTGGGTTCCCTCCATGGCAGCCTCAGCTGCAGAGGTGAAGGAGGACTTCTCAGTGGTGAGCCCAGTCCCAACCTCTGCCCTCAGGGCTGCTCCAGCCAGCAGGTGCTGCCCAGTGTCCCCAGGCTGGGTGGCCCACAGGTTCCTGCTGCTTTTAAACAGACTCAGTCCTGTGATCCCTGTGGAGCTGCTGCTTGCTGTGTGTGGCCAAGGGGCCTCCAGGTTCCTTAGCTCCTGCTAATGGGGAGACTTTGTTTTCCACTTCCATGCTGCTCCTGCAGCTCACGGCAGCTCCAGCTCCCAGGGCCGTGGCTGGTCCTGTGCTGAGCTGTCCCTCGGGGCACCCGCTGCTGTGGAAGATGAGATGAGAGATGCTGGTCCCACACAACATCTGTGTGAGCCTGTGAAACTCACTCTCACAAGACAGGGCTTGGCAGCAGTGCTGGAAGGAGCTGGGCTGGGCTCTGCCATGGAGCAGCCAACATCTCCTTCCTGCAGTGTCATCTGGCTGTGACGGCCAGACCGGCTGCTCATGGCCAGGAAGCACTTCCCATCTCACTGGATCGTTCCTCTGCTGGCCACTCCATGCTGCTGGGTCCTTCCTGCAGGCATGTGGGGGTCCTTACCAGGATGAATGCAGCTCCATCAGGGCTGCAGGATCTGCCCAGCCATGTCCACGCTCCTCAAGAGGTGACAAGCTCCGTGGTGCCCAGGCCAGAGCTCGCAGGGGCCGTGCCTGCTCCTTCCCACTGCCCCAGCTGCCTCTTTGCGTTAACATTCGTGGCAGCTTTGTCCATGCTGAGGGGAGCACACAGGCCCATGCTGCTGCTGTGAAATGCAGGGCTCCAAGACATGCGTCTGTGGTAAGACACGGGCTTTGAAATCGGACACCACCAGGGCTGCCATGTCCCAGTTTCTCTCGCTAACGTCCCCGGTTTGGTTTTCCCGTCTGCTCCTCTGGCCGCCTGCGAGTTGGCAGCTCCCGCCTGGCGCTCCTCTCCACTGCCTTGTGTGAGAGTGTGTGTGCTTCTTCCTTCCTTCGTGGGCTCAGCTGTAGATCCTTCTTCTGATTCCATGCAAAGTGACCTAGAAAACTAATTCTTTTCAAACCATTGCAAGAAGAAGGGAAAAAAGAAAAGGGGGGAGGGGGAACACATTGAAACAATTTTCTGGAGAAAAAATTTTCCAGAATTCAAACCCCAGAAATCTGCTCTAGTGCAACACTTTGTATCTCCCTTGCCTTCTTTCCCACACCATTTTCTGGGGTGAGGAGCAGGCGGTTTGCAGAAATCCAGTGGCAATGTCATGACAGACAAGTATTTCCTTCATTTCCACAGCAAAGTGACCTCTGTTCCAGCCTCGGATGGGGGCCAGGCTCTGATTTGTTGATAGGCTCTGAAAATGTTTCCATTACCAACAGAAAAACAAGCAGGCGTGTTGGTGGATCCCAGTGCTCCAGGTCTCCCAGGGCCTGGCTCATTGTGCTGGATGTCCAGGCTGGGAGCTGGGCTGGCAGACCTTGGGGACCCTCTTGCCTCCCCCCCAGTGCCATGCTGGGGCTCACAGCCTCATGTTCTGCTTCCTCCCCAGACAGGATCCATTCCCATCCCAGGAACTTTCCCATACAGTTCCATTCCTGACTGGAATGTTCAAATATGGGCAGACGGTTAAAATCTGCCCAAGGTGTCCAAGCCCTCTCCTCTGCCCTTCACGTTTCTCATCACAATCCCATGTACACACAGCTCCCAAGTATTTCCTTTGTTTCGACCTTCCCAAAAAACAGTTTGTCAGGCTTATTCTTTCTCACCCGTTCCTGGTGTCACGTGGGCAGTGACACCCTGCCCAGCCTCGAGTTATTTATGCTCACGTCTGCTCTTTAAGCACCGAGCTCTGGTGGGCATGTAATCTGGCTCTCCTTGGCTTTGTAGTCTCTCAGCCCATTAGTTTCTTTCTTATATCCGTTTGCAAAAGACCTCTATAAATTCTTTAAATGTCAAGTGGTTATGGCCAATTCCCAGCTGGGCTGACTCATTTGGACATAACTGAGGTTGCATTTCCCTTGCAGCTATTGGCTTTTCCTCCATCCTCAGCGGTTTTTTTCTTTCTGATGAGTTTTTCTCTGCTGTGCTGGACACGGGAGCTGAGCCAGTGAGCACTGCAGGCAGGTCTTAACCCACACACAAACCACCTCTTTGGTCTCTCAAGTACATGTCCAAGAGTTTTCTTTTTAATCCAAAAGGATTAAAGGTCTCCCGAGGCTCTGGACTTGAGGGATGGGATGGAGGGATTATCCTCAGCCTTGGCTCACTCTGTCGCCATCCTCTTGGCTGAGCCCAGGCAGGAGCAGCTGAATCCCACGGTGCTTTCGAGGCTACTGAGAAATGAGACAGCAGGAGGTTTAAATCCAGCTCCTAAAAAAACCCCACAGTAGGTCAGTACAACCCAGCACTGCCAGAGCTGCCAGCGATCGCTGGGCTTGTTGACACTGTCTATGGAGGGATGGATGGAGTAAGGCTTCAATTAGTACCCTGGGCTCTGGCCAAGGTCTTGCCTCAAGAGAGTCCTGCTGATGTGGTGGCCCAGGAAGTCACTGCAGCCATGTTTAAATAAACCATTCCTAGAGAAGGGCACTCTAGCAAGGACAGGCCCCTGGCTTGAACATCCTGGGGGCACGATCCCCCAGCCACACTCCCCCAGCCACCCCAGCCCCAGTAAAGCTCCATGTCTCCTCTCTCCACAGACATGCCACCACTGCTGCCTATGGACCTCAAAGGGGAGCCAGGACCCCCAGGGAAGCCTGGCCCACGTGGACCCCCTGGCCCCCCCGGATACCCAGGAAAGCCAGGCACGGGAAAGCCAGGAATGCATGGCCAGCCTGGGCCAGCCGGGCCCCCTGGCTTCTCAGGCATTGGGAAACCCGGAATGCCAGGACTCCCTGGAAAGGCGGGTATGAAAGGGATGCCTGGAGCCAAGGGTGAGCCTGGCATGCGAGGAGAGCAAGGGCCAAGAGGGCTGCCCGGCCCCCCGGGGCTGCCGGGGCCAGCTGGCATCTCAGTCAACGGGAAGCCAGGCCCACGGGGTGGCCCCGGCCTGCCTGGGTTTCGGGGTGAGCCTGGCCCAAAAGGAGAGCCGGGTCCCCGTGGAGAGCGAGGGATGAAGGGCGAGAATGGTGTGGGGAAGCCAGGGCTCCCGGGGCCCCGGGGGAATGGGGGTCCTCCTGGCCCCACCGGGCCCCCAGGGCCTGTTGGCATTGGAAAACCCGGTCTTGACGGCCTGCCGGGGGCACCGGGGGAGAAGGGGGACATGGGCCCTCCAGGTGGGCCTGGTGTCAGCGGGGAGCCCGGCCCCATGGGGCCCCGCGGCCCTCCTGGCATCGATGGGATCGGCATCCCAGGTGCTGCCGGGGTGCCAGGGATACAGGGCCCCACAGGGCCAAAGGGAGAGCCTGGGATCCGCGGCCTCCCTGGTTTGCCAGGCCCAACCGGACACGGGAAGCCAGGTTTGCCTGGCCTAAAGGGAGACCGCGGGCAGCCCGGGGCACCAGGGGCCATTGGCGATAAGGGGGAGCCCGGTGTTGATGGGGAGCCAGGCGAGCCGGGCCCTGCTGGCATCATTGGGGCA